ATCAATTGGCGGTGGTGCTGCAGAGCGATGACTCTGGTTGCACATCAATTCTATGGAAGGTTTTAACGGAGCTTGGGGCGTTTCATATATTTCCTGAATGAAGAAAAGTAAAGAAAAAATAAATGCAGATGTTGAGTGTAAACACAAACAGTAGTGAAAACAAGAAAAATACCACCAAAGTAGAAATTTTCGATTCATCCATTTCCATAGTAATAGTTTTCAGATGATATCTTCTTGTCCTCCGACAAATTTTTAAGGAATTCTCTATGTGCAAAAACGTTTTGTCACCAATAAGAACAGGGATAAATAATGATAATTCAATTGAGTGATGGATAAAATGAACTTACATCAACTCCGGGAGTTTCTCCATGGTCAGTGATGGCTATATCAAGGTCATCTGATAAGTAGTGCAGCTCCAGTTGCTCAGTGAGTGCTAGACTGTCACTTGCACAGGTCAGACTGTGAAACCTGTTCTGCGATGCATCCCCTGGTAAGTTAAGAAAGTCCTTCAGGAGATCCTCCGATTCGTCGTTGCCATATTCGTTATTGGTTATATCCCCACTAAAAATCAGTGGAGATTTGGTATCAACCGCAGAACTAGACTGGTTGCATGTTGGAGGTGGAAGGAATGGCAAATTCCCAAGCTGCCGATGGGTTTCTGAACTTGACGAAGATGACTGGTATAAGCTGGTACAGAATACAGAAGAGCGCGAAAACGCATTCTTAGCATGATGAGTATGAGAACCAGGAGATGCAGGACTGTTCAACTCGGACCCGTAGTAGAACTTAGGAGGATGCGTAGAAGCTGCTCCAATGAAAGGAGAACCAAGAGACTCTGTCCGTATGAAAGGCGAGGGGTGCGGAGATGAACATTCTCCGACCAGCAAACTCTTCCCTTCTGATCCAATACTCAAAAAGTCATGTACTGGTATACAATATGGCTGTGGAACCCCTTTTGAAGGCTCACTTTGTGTCACAGATACAATACTGTGACGGTTCATCATGTTGATGGAAATCCAACCGATCAAAGAGCGAAGGAATGTAGGCTTTGACTATGAATTAACATACAACTCCTGCTTATGTCTTGGTTCTCTCTGATCTTTCTTGTTTATGGTTTTTCACATAGAAGAAACAAAAAGTAACATTTTTACAATACAAATAAGCTTATTTTCACTAACAGGTAAGCCTCGACCTGTTATGCTAATTTTAATGGGAAGAAGAAACGAGACATCTGATTTTTTATTGGAGTTCCCATTGACTTGTGGATCTTAGAGACCTTTCTTTTT